CTGTAACTAGGAAAACTTAGTTCTCCCAGTGAGTGCCTGGAGCAGCCCAGTTTTCCACATAAGTGAGGCTTTACATTAACAAAGACCCCCAACTCTGGATCTCCAAAGCACTGGTATTCCAGCATGCAGATGTTACATTAACTTCAGAGTAAGACAGGTAACAGGAGGTTATTTTCACAACTTCTCCAGTGTGATAAAGGGGTACTCACAAGCCATGCAGTTACTATTTAGCTACCACTAATTAGCATTAAACAGCTAGGACATCAGCCGAAATGACCAAGGATGAAGTGATCTTCTGGAAGATCCTAGCTACAGACAAGGTGATGAAAACAATTTGAGCCCAAAAATGAAACAAAATAGACCTAAACAATAAAACATGATAAAATCACAGTTATGGTAATGAGGGACCAGCGCTGTGGGGCAGTAGGGTAAAGCCCAGTCTGTGGCACCAGCATCCCATGTGGGCGCTGGTTCAAGTCCCAACTGCTCCACTTGCAGTTCAGCTCCCTGCTAATGGCTTGGGAAAACAGCAGAAGATGGCCCAAGTTCTTGGTCCTCTATATTCATGTAGGAGACCTGGAAGAAGCTCCTGGCTTTGGATTGACTCAGCTCTGGCTGTTTTGGTCATTCAGGCAGTAAATCAACAGATGGAAGACCCATCTCTCTCTGTCTCTACCTTTCTTTATAATTCTTTCAAATAAATAAAATAAATCGTAAACTCAATTCCTTAAAAAAATTAGTTCATGAAACTTCATTCATATGTATATATATATGATCAAAATATAAAAATTTATTTCTTATTATGAATGAGGCAACGAAAAAAGTTTACAAGTTACTGCATCATAGCTGAAGCAAAATAAACTATAAAGCAGCTGATGGTGTATAAAATTACACAGCTGCAAATCAAAGACTGTCTTCCCATGCATACAATATGAAGAGATGTCTAATTATAATCCGTTCTCTTGTATTATGTAAGACCACTCACCCATAATTGGATCTGAGACTTGAGATCTGTCTTGTCTGGCCACAGGAGTACTAGAAAAATCATGCAATCCTGTAAGCCTCAATTTCATTATTCATGAAAATAGCATAATACTTTTTGCTTTCTCTACTAATTAGAGAAGTGAGGCTCAAATGAGATCGAATATAGTGCTTTGAGAAATACAAACCACATATATCAATATAATGTTCAAAGTGCTTTCTTACATCAGCCCTATGAATATTAGTTCTGTGTTCCTAAGGTGAATATAAATAAACATTCTATCTTAGTGTTTAACAGAGTAGGCTTCGAAGCAGAACAGACCAACATCCAAATCTGGATCTAGGAGCCAGCACCATGGCACAGCAGGTCAAGCCGCTGCCTGTAATGCCGGCATGCTATAGGACCATTGTTTTGATATCTTGCTACTTTGCTTTTGTCCAGCTCCCTGCTAATGCACCTGGGAAAGAAACAGAAGATGGTCCAGGACTTGGGCCCCAGCCATCCACACGGGAGACCCAGATGGACTTTCATCACCTGGCTTCAGTCTGGCCCAGCCCTGGCCACTGCGGTCGTTTGGGGAGAAAATCAGTGAATAGTAGATCATTCTCTACCTCTCCATCTCATTTTTTTTTTTTAAAGATTTATTTATTTATTTGAAAGGCAAAGCTGCAGAGAGAGAGGTCTTCCATCTGCTGGTTCACTCCCCAGATGGCCACAACAGCCGGAGCTGAGCCAATCCAAAGCCAGGAGCCAGGAGCTTCTTCCAGGTCTCCCACGTGGGTACAGGGGCTTGCCAAGGACTTGGGCCCTCTTCTACTGCTTTCCCAGGCCAGAGCAGAGAGCTGGATCAGAAGAAGAGCAGCCAGGACTAGAGTATGGGATGCCAGCGCTGCAGGCCAGGCTTTAACCCGCTGTACTACAGTGTCGCCCCCTTCCTCCCCACAATTCTGCCTTTCAAATAAATATGTAAAAAAAAAAAAAAATCTGGTCTCTACCACTTGTTAGCTGTGTGATCTTACAAACCACGTAAAATCTCTTCACTTTAATCTCCTCATCTATAGATGGAAATAAAGTACCATGAAGGGATTGCCAGACAAATTAAGAGGTATCACATAGAAAGCACACTGCATAATGCCTTGCTTACTAACAGGAACTATGAATTTCAGTATTTTAATTTCTATTTCAAGTATGCCGTTTGTTGTTCTGATCTGCTCTGTAATAGGCAAATCACTCTTCTGGCCAAGATTATCTAAGTAACTAAATCAATTACCAAAATTTAAAAATAAAAGGCATTCCAGGAAGCGTTTATATATGGTAACAAACTGAAAATAACTATGTGGAACGGGCATCTGGCACAGTGGTTAAGTTGCTATTTGGAATGCCTGCATCCCGTGTCGAAGTGTCTGGTTCAAGCCCCAGCTATTCAGCTTCCGGGTAACGTGTTCCCTGCGAGGCAGAGGTGATGGCTCATGAACTTGAGCCCCTGGCACCCAAGTGAGACCCAGACTGAGTTCTGGTTTCAACCTGGCCCAACCTTGCCTGTTGTGGACATTGGGAGGTGAAACAGTGGATGAAAAATCTCTTTCTCTCTGCCTTTCAAATAAGAAAATTAAAATAATCACAAAATATCAAAGCTTTTAAAAAGTGATAATTTTTACAGACTGTTCCATTTCCATGACAAAGAAGCTGATTACACAAATACGTACTTGTAAACTCCAGAAGTGTGTAAGTGGTGATTCAACTTTTTCTTTTTTCAAGCACTTAGATTTCAACATCCTGGCCCTTCCCAACATCAAGTAAGCATTCCAACACCTAAATTAGTTTTTAAAATACTCCCAAACCACTCATCAAAAGAAAAGGTCCCTGTAGTGGCTAGGAAATCATGAATCTATAGATATAGACAAGCTTCTCCCTCCTCATCTGCTAAATATCACTCTATTTCATTAGCTCCTCCTTTCTAATTGTTTTTAAAGTTTCAATGATTAGGAATCTGCCATCCTACCAAGCTACTGGTAACTGTAATAGCTTACTTACACTATACCATATATATCAACCATACACTGCTCCCAAACTTCTAAGTCACATTCTCAAACTGCGGTTTGCAGATCTGTATGAATCCTGAAGACCTGCAGAGAGGACCCGTGAAGTCAAAACTTTTTCCAAAAAAATTGTTGATTTATGTTGTGGGTGGCAAGGACTGAACTCCGAACTAACTGAACCATCACCCCTTCTTTGCAGGGTGTGCCATCAGTGAGAAGCCGGAATCAGGAGCAGAGCCAGGACTCAAATCCAGACACTCCAACATGGGGGGGAGGGCTCAAGCAGCACCTTAACCACTGTGCCAGACCCTTGCCCTCAGAACTATTTCAAATATGAAGACATAATTGACCTGTTCACTCTGCTGACACCTGCACTATGGGAGAAAGCAACAGTACATCTGCTGAGTCTTAGCAACAAAGACAATGACAAGACACTGTCACTGCCAGTTTCACTTAACAATTTTCTTGAAGTAGTAAAAGTATTTTGACCACATCGTTTTAACACCCTGGGTAAAGAAACAGGAATTGCGCATAAAGCACTCCTCATTTTTACCAAGTACCACGGTTTTCTGGAGAAGCAGCAGTTGTGCAATTGAGTTGTAACACAAATTGGCTGCTTTTTTCAGGACGCATCACTTTTACGTGAAAAAATACCCTGCAAACTAACTTGGGTAATCAAGAAAAACTTCACCAAACTGAGCCAAGTGAGCCTATTACTTCAGAAAAACTGACAGCATTAGTTGTCTGTGATAAAATTCCAGCTTCAAGTCAACCTTAAAAATGTGGGAGAACATAGGGAGCAGCATTTAACCTAGCAGCTAAGATGCCCATGTCCCAGACTGCAACGGCTGGGGTTCAGCTCCAGCTGCAGCCAGACCCCCAGCAGTGCTGAACCTCAGCTGGGCTCCGGCCCCACCTGGGGAGGCCCTGATGGGAGCTCCTGGCTCTTGGCTTCACAATGGCCCAGGCATTTGAGGATGGGATATGCGTGCCTCTCAAACAAATAAAAACTCATTTTTAAAATGCAGAGAACTTGGGCCAACCATCCTCATTTTGATGGTGTCCCGGTGCTTAAAGACATTTCTCACGAGATCGATGAATATAAAAATGTGACCTTTTTGAGAATATCGAAGGAAAAATGACAACTGCATATGTCTCTGCACATCTCAGAGAACCAAGCCGTCAGTGAATGTACACATATTTTTGTACACATATTTTTAAAGTTTCTCAGCTTTAACTTTCAATACGGTAAATATCATCACATATAATAAGCAACAACCTCTTTGGTAACCTTAATAACTTCTTAAGATTGTAAAGGAGTCTTGAGACGAAGAGCTATGACAATCAATGGTCTAATATAAAGGAAACCAACTTTTCAAAGTTCCTAGTTTATGCAATTCTTTTTCCTCTTTTTCAGTACCTCCTTCCAAGAGCCTTAGCCTTTTCATTCCTTAGGAGCTGACCTGTAGAAGCTGTGTGTGTTGGGCAAGAGGGGAGGAAGCAGACTAGAATGAAATGATGGGGTTTGACTAAAAGGAAAGAAACTTGGAAATCCTATCTAACCTTCATCTGTGTTCTGGCTGGACTCAAGTTCTGAGTCAGACGTCTCAGTGAACTACAGAAAAAACTGGGACGCGTCCGAGGAACGGACAGCTGGCAGCAAGTACAGGGGGCGGTGAGGTGAACGGCGAGGGGAACAGGGTAGTCGGAGGAGAGGGAAATGCCAGAAACACGGGTTCTCCTGTAATCCCCACGCTCTCACGCCCGAGACTCCCGAGGGACGTACCAGCGGAGCGCCCACAGAGCTCCCCGCCCCCCGATAGTGGCAGGGCTCTCGCTAAACCCCACCCTTACCCCGAATCCCTTCAGTATCATCCTCCTCGCCCCTCCTCCCCTCCCCTCTTCTCTCGCTCTCATACACGGGCGCACACCCACACCCCTCTTCGCTCCCCAACCCCCGCGACCCCACGGATCCTCACCACCAACAGGTTCCTGTCCTCCACCAGCTGCCGCTTCCGAAGAATCTCTGATTTCAGAACGTCCATCTCGATGCCTCGGCTGAAGTCCGAGCTACCCTCTCCCGTTCCGGACCTCACTTCACTCGGCCAGCCGCGGAGAATCCAACGCAGACACCAACACCGAGCCCAAGCACGGGAAGACAACAACTGACGTAGGTCACTTCCGGCGGAAGCTGAGGTCAACAAGAGGAGGGGAAAGAGGGCGCTCGGGGCGCCCATTAGCAAAGCGGCTGCTGATGCGCGCCCCCTGGCTGCGCCCTCCAGAAGCGCGCCTGTAGTATCACCTGCAAAAGAAGTAGAAATGAATGGGAACGAAAACCCACGAATCATGTTGAGGTCCTTGTGCGGCATTTTTAATCCTTATTGTCCCTGCTGATTTAGGTCCAAAAGTCTCCTCGTAGAACGTCTATATTATATTCAGTAGGGTAGGATCGTACTCCTGTACTAGACGAAGGAACTCCGAGTTCCCGGAGTTGTTAAGGTCTTGAACAGTAAGAAAAACCTGAATAACGTTGGCTCCCAGGTGTAGAGGAAAAAGGCGCTGCTCATTTCCAGCCTGTTAAACTTCCCCTAGACTTACGCAACTGCATTCATAAAGGCATTTCCAGAGTCATTCTCTCCTCCCTTACTTACACATTGCTTATACTAGACTGGAGATAATTAAACATCTACCTCAGGCTGAGATCAACTTTTTGATCATGTGTTCAGCAGTCAAGATTGTCAATGACATGATTGGAGACTGAACCAGAAATTTATATATGTATTTATTTCCTTGTCTAACCCAAGAAGTAAAATTTTACTGGGGAGAAGAATTATGTCAGATTTTTTTTTAATCCCTAAAGATTGCTTATTTTTGGCTCCGTGCCATGAAATCACTTTTTTTAAAAAAAATTTTATTAAGTCATTCTTGAGCTGTATGTGAAATGTTAGGGTTGTTTTTTTTTTCTTTCACTCAATGAGGAAAGAAATTTCATTCCTTTAGTCAGATGGTAATGGAGTAAACTGATTTATCAAAAAAGAAAAAGAAAAGAAAGAAGGAAGGAAGGAAGGAAGGAAGGAAGGAAGGAAGGAAGGAAGGAAGGAAGAAAGAGAAAGCGAGCGAGCATTGTTCATGTGGCTTCAGGAAGTTTTGCAGCGTGTGTGTGGGTTAAATTTCATCTAAAAGATATCTGACTAAAGCCAAGTGAGTTCACTGTCTTACCTGGTATGCTTTGCTGACTTTATAGCTTTTGAGAGTATAAGATACTTCAAAAACCAGCGGGCAGAGGGTGATGGGGTGCCTTGACCTAAACATGGTAATATTCTTGTATGGATATCTGTTTCCTAGATCGTTTATAATTCAATAAGCTAATAACTTTATTAGCATTCTCCTGATATAGAGATTAGAAATCATAACACAGAAGCCAGATGACAGGAACAGTAATAGAAGTTTACGGAGGACACAGGTGAGATGATGGGAGACTGTGCCAGCTCCTCTTAAATGGAAGACATCCGCGGATTCTGAGGTTTAGGTAGCTATGTCTGTTAAATGCTGATGAAGGCCCAAGATCAAAGAGTCACAGAGATGAATAACTGAACAAGCAAATACTTGAGGAGCCCTTGCAATGTGAGAAAGAGGACGACCACCAGAATTTGGAATAATGTGGGACCACTGAAACCCATGTATCAGGACGGGCATTTAGCCTGTGTTCCATATAGAAGTCCCTGGGTTCCACACGGGGCTTAGTCTCCAGACTCCAACTTCCTGCTAGTGCAGATCCTGGAAGGCAGTGGTAAGAGTTCAGATAGGGGCTGGCACTGTGGCACAGTAGGTTAATCCTCCCCCTGCAGTGCCGGCATCCCATATGGGTGCCAGTTCTAGTCCTGGCTGCTCCTCTTCCAATCCAGCTCTCTGCTATGGCCTGGGAAAGCAGTAGAAGATGGCCAAAGTCCTTGGGCCCCTGCACCCGCGTGGGAGACCAGGAAGAAGCTCCTGGCTCCTGGCTTCGGATCAGCACAGCTCTGGCCATTGAAGCCATCTGGGGGAGTAAACCAGTGGAGAGAAGACCTCTCTCTCTGTCTCTACCTCTCTCTGTAACTTTGTCTTTAAAAATAAATAAATTTAATTTTAAAAAATCCTAAAAAAGTTAGATTTTGTTATGTATCTATGATTTGAAAGTGTATATGGGGCTATAATAAAGTATTCACAGAAATTAAAAATCTGTCATCTTGTAAAAGATGTTTGTTGTTTGTGCTTGGCTTACAAAAAGTTCATAGAAAATGTGGATGATATTTTCCCCTCAACCTCCTTGACATACTATTGAATTTAACTCAATACGATGTCCTCTATTCCAACTATGTTGCTACAAATGACAAGATTTCACTGAATAATATTCCATTTTGTTTATATGCCTCATATTGTGTCTTAGATTTATTTATTTGAAAGGCGGAGTTACGGAGAGAGAGATCTTCCATCTGCCGGTTCACTCCCCTCATGGAGTGAACCTGCAGGTGAAGGCTCAAGTGGGGTCCCTGCCCTCACATGCAAGCCATTCTTGAGTTCCCAGCCCCTGGCTTCGGTCCAGCCCAGCCCCAGCCACTGGGACTGAACCAGTGGCTGAGAGAGTGTGTGCACTCTGTCTTTCAAATAAAGTCAAATATATACATAAGTAATTTTAAAGAAATCCATTGGTCTGTCCTGAATGTTGAGTGAACTTTTTATCACACATTAATCATTGGGAAAATCTTAGTTCACTGATCTGTGCAGATTTTCCAAATATGGACCTTTTATGACACAGTATTTTTTTTGGACAGGCAGAGTTAGACAGTGAGAGAGAGAGACAGAGAGAAAGGTCTTTCTTCCGTTGGTTCACCCCCAAAATGGCTGCCATGGCCGGTGCGCTGCACCGATCCGAAGCCAGGAGCCAGGTGCTTCCTCCTGGTCTCCCATGGGGTGCAGGGCCCAAGCACCTGGGCCATCCTCCACTGCACTCCCTGGCCACAGCAGAGAGCTGGCCTGGAAGAGGGGCAACCAGGACAGAATCTGGCGCCCCGACCGGGACTAGAACCCGGGGTGCCGTTGCCGCAGGCAGAGGATTAGCCTAGTGAGCCGCGGCGCCGGCATGACACAGTATTTTAAAGATCACATGTATTAATAGTACATCCTCCATCTCATCAGAAAAGCCTTTTGGCAATTGAGAAAACACCACCCTCACAGTGAAAGATAGCTTTCCAGAGTGTTATTTTTTACTGAAAGCTCACGTTTTATCTAGCAACAAAAATCGCCTGAAGTGACAAGCTCACTTTGTTTATTTGTAGGAAAACGTCTGCGAAATGCACAAGTCTGAATAACCACGGCTGTCCGTGGGCTCTTCTTTCAAGTGAGAGTAGCAGTCCATAAAATGGTGCCAGAGCTCAGCTTACTGCAAACAGCCTCAACCCAGATCCTGGGGCCAACCATTGTACTTTCGTTGCAGCAGCAGAGCTTCATCAGAGAATATTCACAAGATGCCTATTTGAGTGCTAAGATTCAACACAACTTGGGGCCGGCATCATAGCATAGCAGGTTAGACTGCTGCCTATGATGCCGACATCCCATACGGGTGCCGGTTAGCGTTCCAGCTGCTCCACTTCCCAACCAGCTCCCTGTTGATGGCCTGGGAAAGGCAGTGGAGGATGGCCCAAGTGTTTGGGCCCCTGCCACCCATGTGGGAGACCCGGATGAAGCTTCTGATTCCTGGCGTCTGCCTGGCTCAGCCCTAGCCATCGCAGCCTTTTGGGGAGTGAATGAACAGATGAAAGATCTCTCTCTGTCTCTCCCTCTCTCTCACTCTAACTCTTTCAAATAAAGAAATAAATCTTTTTTTTTAAAAAAAACCCACAAGATTTAATATAATTAATAATTTTTACTGCTTTATTTAAAATACTTTAAAATGAAACTGGCGTGTTTTTCCTAGTGAACACACAGCAGTGAAGAATGGTGCAGCTTGGTGCCAATGGTTGGGTTCGTGCTAATGCATCAGCAAACTTACTACTACCTTTGTGCCATCCACGCAAATGTCGATACAGTGCCCAGGGCAAGGAATGGCCAAGTGCTACTATAAAAATAACTTTGACTTAACTAATCTCTAAAGGGATCACACTTTTACAGCTACTGATCTAAAAACTATTCTAGACTACAAAAAATTGTGAAAACCTTTCTGATGCATTTTTGTCAAACCAATGTGAACTTGACACTGAAACCTGATACAGGGCCAAGAAAAAATTATATATTCTGATGGCATTTATGAATATAGATTTAAATTTAAAAGCTATACCTAAAATCTTAGCAAACAGGATTTAGCAGTGTGTAAAAAAACAAAACACTAAGACTGAGCAGGGTCTATTCCAAGGAAATCTATCCAAACAATGGATTATATCAAAAAATTAAAAGAGAAAAAATAGGGGCTGGTATTGTCATGTAACAGGTTAAGTTGCTGCCTGTGACACCAGCATCCCATATGAGCGCCAGTTCTAGTCCTGGCTGCTCTATTTCTGATCCAGCTCTCTGCTAAATGTGTCTGGGAATGCAGCGGATGGCCCAAGTAGACCCGAATGGAATTCCTGGCTCCTGGCGTAGGCCTAGTCCAGCCCCAGCTGTTGTGGTCATTGGGGGAGTGAGCCACCAGACAGATCTCATTCTCTCTGTCCCTCTGTCTTTCAAATAAATAAAATAAATCTTATTTATTTATTTATTTTGCCAGGCAGAGTTAGACAGTGAGAGAGAGAGACAGAGAGAGAGTTACAGACCGAGACAGAGAGAAAGGTCTTCCTTCCGTTGGTTCACTCCCCTAATGGCCCCTACGGCCAGCACTGCACCGATTTGAAGCCAGGAGCGGGTACTTCCTCCCAGTTTACCATGTGGGTGCAGGGCCCAAGCACTTGGGCCATCCTCTGCTGCCCTCCCGGGCCACAGCAGAAAGCTTGAATGGGAGAGGACCAACTGGGGTGCTGGCACCGCAGGAGGTGGATTAGCCCAGTGAGCCATGGTGCTGGCCTAAAATAAATCTTTAAAAATAAATAAAAAAGAAAAATTAATTATATATTTTTAAGTTCTAGAAATCATTTAATACAATTTGGTGGTCATTAATGGAAACTGTCAGCTAAATAAAGAGGGAAATTATTTTAATATGAGAAAGATAAATTATCAATATTCAACCATGGATCTCATTCCAAACAGTGAAATACTAAAAGTTAGGTAGAGATTGTAACTGTGTCCATAATAATTCAACTTTCTTTTGGGTAGTATATGAAATAAATAAGAAAA